AGATGCCCAGGAAACACCACTGCTTGTAGGAAATCTTGTAACAGCCCTCTGTGGCTCTGGTTCCCGGCCTTGTGTCCCCAAATATCCTTGGACTAAAACTCCCAGAAGCCTTCACCACCAGCTGTGCTGGCCAGGATTTCTAGGAATTGCAGTCCAGTCTGAGGACCCAAAGTTGAGAACCAGTGCTCTGTGGCTTCAGGGATAGCGCGATGCTCCTAAACCTTATCTCTCATCCGTTTGAGGACGTGTCCTCAGAAGTCATGTGGTTTAGATTTCAGGCTAAGCCAGTGACCAGATCCATGTTTGACCCTCTATACTTTCTGGTTTTGCAATCCTAGATAGGTTGGGGGGGGAATAGAGGCTTATTAAGACCCTATGGACAGGTATGTGGGTAAACAAGGCACTCGTGATGACTCTAGATTAGGTGGAAAGTGAATATTCAACTCTTCAAATATTGTTGATTTGAAATTCCCCGCATCCTTCACTACTGGCATTTCTGGGCTGGGAGCTGATGGGGGTTGATGGCATATATAAGGAATTAGACATTGCCCAACTCTACTCTAGAAGAACCCTTGTTCGAAGCCTCTTAAGTCCATGTTTCGCCAAAATCATTCAGTTGGGGAGACTGGTCGCAGTGGGAGCAATTCAGAAGTGAAGTTCAGCTTCATAAAATTATTCCTACCATTTCCCCCCTATCTTTCTCCTCTCCTTTCCACCATCTCCCTCGCAGCAGCAGCGAAGCCTGTGTGCACAGACAAATGCCGTTTAGAGTCCAGAGATGAATCAGACGAAGAGCAACAATCCAAACGTCTTGTTGAAAGGAAAGATTATGACAAAAGAAACCCAACAGACAGCCCGTTGACAAAGCTAGTTGACAAATCCCGGTTTCCTGGCTCCCAAACTAACAATACCGCCTCTTCTGTCATCCCTTTGAGAACAGTATCTGCATCCACAAGGCTAACCTTTTGAGCTTCTCAATTTTCATGTCATGTAAAGGCGTGTTTTAAAATTAGCATTTAAAAAGAAGGGAGCCGGCATGCTTTCAGTTTAAGCTGACACCGTTCCTTTTCCTCTGTGGAAATGAAATTTATTAATCATAATAAAACCATCATATGCTGAAGGTAGAGGTCACCCTGAGGAGGGGAAAAAAATAGTCTATTCATCATCTGGAAAAAGAAAAGATGCATATGCCGAGATAATCTCTATGCGTGGGTCCTTCCGAAATGTCTTCCTTCGTAAGGCAACATCTCTGTTTCTTCGTGAATTCTGAGCCTCTACTCTGTAGAGGGTGGGTGGGAATAATCTCTTCAAAAGCTGACGTGCAATCCATCCAGCTGGTTGGGAGTCCTGAATGCACAAGTAAATTGCCCTTTGTTTGCCAGCTCAATTTATAAAGGGAAATTACAGTGGTGCCTCGCTAGACGATGATAATCCGTTCCACTGAAATTGCTGTTTAGCGAAATCATCGTCTAGTGAAAAGCATTTCCCTATTGGAATGCATTGAAACCTGTTTAATGTGTTTCCAATGGGGAAGAATCGTCGTTGTCTAGCGAAGATCGGCCATAGGAAGGCCACTTTGCGAACCGCCAATCAGCTGTTTAAATTGCTGTCTTGCGAAGCTTAGGGCCTGAAAACACTCGTTTGGTGAGCACGGAGGGAGCTGTCAAAATCGGTGTCTAGCAAAAATCGGTTTGCAAAGCAGGGACCAAGCATTGTCCAGCAAAATTCCCCCATAGGAATCACCGTTTTGCGCATCGCTATAGCGATTGCAAAAAGTCAATGTCTAGTGAAAAAACTGTCATGCGGGGTAACTGCCTAGCGAGGCACCACTGTATTTGCCATCTAACACTGCACAACTTGAGGTTTAATAAATCTGTATGTGCAATGGAGAACTTTCTCCATCACATCAGTGGAGAAGGTGCTTTCTACATGATACCTCCCAGGTTTAATTGAAAGTATTTCCAGCAGGACAGGTCATGTCTGTGGAGACCTGGTACCATTGGGTGTTGATGGTTTGACTTGAGACAAGGCACTTTCCTATGTTCTTAACTGCAGCCCAGAAAGAAGGGTGGGTTGGTACAGATTGGATAACCTTGATTGTTGATGACTGAAGGCTCCAGAATCAGTTTGTCCTGTATTCCAAAGCACGCCCCTTTCTTTGCTTCCATTTGGCCAGAGTTCGTTCTTATGGGAACAAGCAGGGCACTGTACATAAGGTCAGGTTAAGAACTGCCCTCTGCCCCTTACTCTCTGGGAGTCTGGTAACATCCTTGAATGGGACCTCACACAGGATAATACAGCCAAAATCCTCTTGGGGATAGACAAAGACAGAAGTGGGATTGTGTCAGTCCTGGTGGCGTGTTCGTGCTAATTAACAAGTTTTGTCCAGATTCGTGGTTACAAGCCAAATTTAGGCCACAATTTGGGTTGTTAATTTGGAGCAATTTATCACTGTGTTTTGGGCAGTCACGCTTCCTCAGGTGTAAATTCTCAGTAGGATTCTGGCCTTTTCTCTTTCTTTTGCATAGAAATGTACAAAGAGGTATGGTGTTCTCACTATCCCTTAATGTATGTTCGCCCACTTCTTTTACACACACATACACATGCACACTCATAACAAAAGCAAGCTACCGTTCTTTTTTTTTTTTACTTCTCTGTTTACTTCTCTTTACCTTTGAATCAATTTTGATGTGACTTTTTATGCTCCCGCAATGCCTTTTGGATTCTACCTCCCCTCATGCTTGTGGGAGTATGTCGTGTTAATGGGTGAATCAAGTGGAATAATCTATGAAAATTCACTGGGTCAATTAAAGTAATGGCTTAAAAAAAACAACCTGGAGTGCTTATGCCTACCCTCTCCTGCACCTTCAATTGCTTATTTATGTGAGTTTATATCCCATGTTTCCTCTGTAAAATGTGTCACAGGGCAGTTTATATCACTGGGAATCAAAACAGCCGTCAATAAAAGAGGCAAGTATAAGCAGATAAAAAGCAAGCTTTAAAAAAAATAGGAGGCTCAACCATTTAAAAAAAAACATAATTGGGCAAATTAAAAGCTTATTGGAATAAAGTGCCTTGAAACCTTGGAAGACAGCAGACAACAAAAGGGTGAGCCTGTGTTTCTCATGCGCTCCAACCTGTAACAAACTGATGCAAACACTTCTGTAAGAAACTGGTAAAACAAACCTGCAACAAACTGATGTCTGCACTTCTAACTCTTTGAGATAACAAATACAACAGACATGTCTTGTCTATGTTCCTCAGAGAGAAGTAGCCACTGCTCGTACAGGAAACCCACAACTTGCAAAAGCTTATTTCTCTCTCTCTCTCTCTCTCTACACACCAACTTCCGCAACCATTCCAAAATTAGCTGATGGTCAGAATCTCACCCTTACAGCCATCGTGGTTGACCCTGGCTCATTTCCATGTGGAATTGTGCCAGCGAAAGAGTAGAGATGTGAAGGAGAAGCGAGGAGACAATGGAGGCAAGGAGAAGCATCCAGCAAAGCCTGCGAGAGAGCAGAGGCAGGACAGAGAAGAGCGAAAGAGGAGGGGTCAAGCAAGCTGCAAAGCGAAGCTGAGGAAGGGGGGAAGACAGTTGAAATTTCACTTACGGGGCCTGAAAATTCTCCAGAAACTTAACCAAACTAAGACCATCTTACAGCTATGTGACAAGGAGCCTGCCGGAGTGGAGGAAAGTATATATAAGATTGCCATTCCACTCTATGTTTCACCAACAAGATACTGGTTGCACACAGAGACACTCAGACAGACACACACATACGGGAGGCATATCAGGAAAAAACAAAAGAAGAATATTTTGTTTGCTTTTGCCTGATATGCTAGCCCAGGCTCACATGGCTACCTCTTCTAAAAGGGCATGCATGTTTTATATACTCCCGCAAAGACAGAATAGGAGGGATATGGTCCTCAGCTTTGTCCAAGGTAAAGAGATTGGCAAGCATAGGATGGCTAGTGGTAGCCCTAGCGGACAAGCCTCCACTGCCGCTTTCACAAGTGTCAAGTTATGTGGAGGCTTAAGTTCTATTTAGGTATTTTTAATAAAGTGTGATTAAAATGAACACTCAAAGAATGGAGTGTTCCATGTCCATCACAACCCCTCCGGTGTTTGGTCTAAGATTTGGATCTGGAGAGCTTCAGCTTTTCCATTTCTCTGCCCGCCACCTCACAGCCTTCCGCCGTCTGAAGGACTCGTTTCTCAACAGAAATTGCTAGTGAATAGCTTTAACCCACCATGACCCGTGAATCTTTGAGTTAGTTAGGACGCGCAGTTCCTATCAGTAACCGTAGGCCAGTGGGGCAGCTTCTACATCAACCCATCCCACGGTGAACACATCTTCTCTCCATTCTCGTTGTGCCATTTTCTAATGCTTTTTTTGTTTGCCTGTTCCCCCACCTTCGGATCCAGCTCTGCCCACTTGTTTGTGACCATCATCCATCCCTTTGTTGAGCGTTCTTGAACACTGCCCGTTGGACCGCTTACTGTAAAAGCAGCCGGTTTTCCCGCTGGACATTTGACACATCTGCCAAAAAGCTCCTTGCCTCTTGCAGAAACATTTCAGAAAGATCTTCACTCATTTTTCCCCCCTTCCTTTCTCTTTCGCCAATTGGTCTTGGCAACCGCCTCTTTGAGTTCACCAGGGACTCCCGCTTCCCTGGAAGAAAATAGAGACATTCACACTCTTCCCCTCCCCAGATTCTGCAGCCAGGGGTGTTAGTCGCCAACTGGTAATCTCACAAAGCTAATTATACATTTCGGCTCCCGCGCCTGACTTCCCATTTCTAGACCAAACACATTTTCCTAGGGGATATTGCTTCCATAAAGTGCTGAGTCAGTTCATTCCCAGTTTAATTGGCTACCGTGGAATGTTTGATTGCGTTCGTTCTGCAAATTCGCTCAGTGTTCTTTTCGTTGGTTGGTTTTCTTGGGTTGCCTTTCTTAACCCTCGGTTCTGCTTTCTCCTTTTCTTCCTGTTTAGTTACGGACGACTTTATGCTGCAGAACCCTACCACCACACACTTACTCCAGCAGCCACCTACGGCGTTGGTACCATGGTAAGTACCCATATTTGCCTTCTGCCCCCTTCTTTAAATCTCAGTCTGCCCCTGCTCTCTCCCAGCCCCTCCCCTCCCGCTCTCCTCCCCTCCTCTCCCCTTCTCCTCCGTTCTTAGCATGGTTGACATCTTCTCACTTTTGCTTAATTGAATTTGTCTCTTCCGCTAACGGCAGCTAAAATGCCACATTAATCCTTCCCAGTAAACTTGATAAATGTCTTAATTTCTTGGCAATGTACTGCATGTAAGTTATTATATTTTTTAATTTTGCAAGTATCACCTAGCCGAGCACTTACCTTAATGGAATAATTAGTCATTTTGATAATTAAATCCATCACAAATGGAATGCCTTCACAGTAGCAGCAATTCTTTGTCTCTTCTTTTACAATTTTTTTGCCCCAAATTTGCATTGCCCCAAGGTTCATGTCACACCAGTGCTTATAATACAGAGCTGAAACCAAGATTCCCAGGCCTCGGCTATCAATCAGCCCAAAGTGTTCTGCAATTTTTCCTCTCTTATTATAACTAATATTTAAAATTAGTGGCGTGCAGAAAAGAGAGGAGGGAAGATGGCTGACCATTTCTTTCACCTTTGAAACTAGAATCCACATTTCAGTTCCCTAGAGATGGTGGTTTAACACTTGAAACAAACATGTATTCATCAAAGTCTCACTAGGAAATTGTGCTGGGTGTTTTTGGCTTTTCATTATGAGAAAATATCCCTCCAGGAGACACGCACGGAAGCACATTCATCTTGTAATCAAGATAATGAGTGCAATCCAGCAAAAGTGAAGTCACAACTAAGTTCCAGGGAAAGTACCGGAACGGTATTTAGTTGAAACTAACTCTGTCCTTTTGAGTTAAGCAACTAAGTTACACGCAAGTTTTACTTGTGCTCCGGTTGTGCTGTGTGTTCATAGCACTTCCGTGCTATAATTGTGAAATATGCAGCCACTTCAAGAATGCTGAACCTAACACTGGTGCTACCTAGAATAGACACATTGAGATGAATGGAGTCTGTTAGTCAGATACAAGTCCCATTGGTTTCACTGGGTCAACTTGAGTCAGACTTAATATTGGAGTCCTCTCCAGAGCTGATTCATCCCAAGTCAAGTATATAAAGAAAGTGTCATATGGTACGTCAGCACACTCTATGCCCACCTTGAAAGACCTTCCATTTATTCCTGTAGGGGAGAGATCATTTTATCCGTATTTTCCACTGTGTGTGCAGAACAGTTTGGTTTACTTCATTGCCTTTGCCCAAAGCTGTCACAAGGTCTCCAGGAAAGAAGGAATAAAACGAACAATAACGTTTTTGTAAAGCAGTTAAAACAGAATTCTTCAATAACATACGGCTTGAAAACTAATGACCAACAAGTAGGATGATGAAGAATATTTGATAGATTCCTCATCCTTTAAGTCGATGAGACACTTGCATTAAGAATTTGAAAGATCCACACCGAATGTGTGCAAAATGTATCTTTGCAACGCTAGAATCTGTTGTCCTTGAGAAACAAGGAAGGAATTGGAAGGACAGGCTGATTATTTCAAATGATAACTCAACTGATTTTTCAGTTTCATAAAAAGTACTGGATGAGCACAAAAAAGATGCAAAAGACCCATCCAATGCTTCAGTTTCATAAATGTCCATGAGAAAAGTACTGGATAAGCACCAAAAAAGATACAAAGGATTCATCTGATCCTTTAGTTCCTTAAATGTGCATAAGACAAAAAAGCAATTGTACACAAGATGCACAAGTTAAGCAAATTACGCATGGTAGGCAAAAATTGGACGATTGTGCAAAAACGAGACACATTGTGCAAGACATTCCTTGCTTGAGACAGAACAAAACTGACACTGGCTGCAAATTCATCCTTGTTGGTGAGGAGAACAAATATTGTAGTACCTTCTCATTAGTGAGAATGAGTGAAGGATTTCTATCTATAGTAACTACTATCTCATTATTTTAATTTCACATTATTTGCTCATTGAAACTAGATGAATGAGTGCAGTGCCAGATGTTTGTGTACGAGACACCTTAAAAACGTATTTTAAAAAAGAACAATGGTTGGCTGAAGCAATTTGCTCCATGTCTGATTGAATTTCTGTTCCAGACCCAAGTTTATTTCTGAATTCATTCACCAAACTGGTGACTTGTGCCCATCTCTTTTTTGGATTAACCAGAGGAACTAAAGGGTGGGGGGGAGGTTCGTGGACCTGGAGACCCTTTAAAGAAAATCCATTTTATCACCACTGCATGTGGTGATAAGTATAAGAAAGCTACCAGGCTTTCTGCCCTTGATTTAAAAAAAACAAACACGTTTTTCATGCTTTGAGAGTAAATATTAATGTCAAGTTGCTCTCACTTTTTCTCCCCCAGATAATTTGATTAGATTTACATTTAGTTCAATTTCTAGCATTTT